CTCAGCTCTGAAACTTCTCATCCAGTCAGGAACCAGGACCGACTTTGTTCGGTTCCGAGTTATTTTACGATCACATGTAATTAAAGCTGTTGTCGTCGGCAGCTTTAATAAACTTACGTCTGACAGTCGCATCATCATTAGCGGAGCGACTTGTTGCCGTCGTGTTGCTATGTGACCCAGGCCGACTGTTTACAGCTTCGCACGGCGACGAGTGGGCGGCGTTCAGCTTAACGATGTAATTAAGACGTCCTGTCAGAGATTACGGCGCGCTAACCGTCCACCAGAGCTAATCAGCCGCCGCTCTTCTCTAATGTGACAGTGACCCGCTTTTATCCCGTCGCTCTTCCTCCGTGTTCTCACGCCGACGTAAACCGATTTGTTTAATCACACCGAGTCGTCGTCAGAAGGCCTCGCCAGGAACCAAACCGATGCGGTGCGGATTAATGGCGGCGAGGCGATCGCTGCCTCCCCGATCAATAACTCTGTGTGTGTGTGTGTGTGTGTGTGTGTGTGTGTGTGTGGATGCAGCAGCTCCGGCTAGCGCTCAGCCTGGGTTTTGTGTGTGTTTTTGTGTGTGTTTCCATGGTGACAGGGATGGTCTTTAGCAAAACGACAAAAAAAAAAAAGTGAGGCACGAGCAAATGCGGCGGCGTTGTGAGCGTGTGCAGGGAAACGCCGGCTCTGATGGCAAACACCTGGTTCAGGAATGCAGACAGTCGGCATGAAGCAACCGAGCAGCAGCTTGTTTCCCTCCAAGAGACGGTTCCTGATATTAAACGTCTGCCTGCAGCTTGTAGCACATCGAAGTCACTTCATCCGTGTTTTAAAATAGTCCTGAAACGAAGCATTTGGACCAGATTGTATTTTAAAAAGTAAAAACATGGTAAAAGATTTCACAAAGCAGGAAGAAGACGACAAAGAACGCCCAAAATGGGACAAAATATGATCTAAAAAGATGAAAATAACCCATAAAAGGAAAAGAAAAAACCCTTAAGTGGCAAAGTCTGATTAAAAAGGTCCACAACAAGACAAGAAATAAGAAATAAACCCACAACAATCACCCAGAATACAACAAAACAATCACAGAAATGTGTCGCCGTTAAATAACTGGCGAAGAGATGGTTCCTGATATTAAACAGTCCTCTGAAAAAATACTCCAGAAACGAAGCATTTGGACCAAATCCTGTTAAAAACAAAATGAAAAACTGAAAAATGTTAAAAGATTTCACAGAGCAGCAAGAAGACGACGACAAATGACCCAAAAAAAAGCACAAAAATGACCAAAAAGGGGACAAAATATGATCTAAAAAACATGAAAATAACCCATAAAAAGAAAACTGAAGCCTAAGTGACAAAGTGTGATTAAAAATGGACCAAACAAGACAAAAAATTACCAAAAAAAACACAAGAATGACCAAAATGGGTCAAATTGTTTTTTAAAAAAGACAAATAAGAAAAATGACAAAATATGATTAAAAAGGAACCAAAACAAAACAAAGAAAACTAAAATAAACCCCAAGAATCACCGAAAATACAAGAAAACGATCACAGAAATGTGTCGCCGTTAAATAACTGTGCTGCAGGTTGTTTACCTCCAAGAGATGGTTCCTGATTTTAAACAATACTCCAAAAAAATACCAAAAAAAGAAGCATTTGGAGCAGATTATTTTTTTTTTTTTAAAAAAACAATAAAAATAAAAAACAAAATGTTAAAAGACTTCAGAGCAGCAAGAAGACAACGAAAAATGACCCAAAAGAGACACAAGAACGACCAAAATGGGACAAAATATGATCTAAAAATGATGAAAATGAAATAGAAAGAATAAAAAAACCTGCAGTCTGATTAAAAAGGGATCAAATCAAGACAAGAAATAACGAAAACATCCCCAAAATGACCCAAAATACAACAAAACAAATCAGAAAAATGAGAGTTTATCAGGCAGAAATTGTCAAAACACAAAGAATGGTGATATTTTCTACTTTCTGACGGTCCTTGAATGTGTCGTGTGGTCAGAATCAGAAGCTTTTTGTCGCACACACAGCGTGATGAATGAAACTGTGGTTCACAACAATGACAAGACAGGAATAAACACAGAAGTCTGGATCTGAGAAGCTCAAACAAAATATGTCAAAGTATAAAAGTACTACGTAAATAAAAAGTACCGTGAACAGAGACAGACTTCCCTAAACCGAGTGACGAATTAGGAAACAGTTTAAATTAGAACATTGTACATGTGATGGTAATAAACCGAATCCCAGCCTCAGATTAGGAGGTTTCATCTAATCTGAAGCTGATTGTGAGATGAAGTCCAGGAGCTCTGACTCCGCTGTGATCAGACGTCCAGAGGTTTCAGGTTTCCTCAGAGCCGAGAGCAGAAGGTGGAGGAGACGTGTTCACCTGGTTAAAGACACGACGACTGATTTCAAACAGAGACGTTTCCACGGCGGCACTGAAAATCTAAAGAATAGTTTAAACTCAGGGCAGGAAACATCACAAACCAGATAAAAAGTCTTCCTGTTGTGTTGCCTTCATGTGACGTCGTCATCGTTCACCTTCAACCGACCGCTCTTTGTTTTTGTTTGCGCCACACAGCTGCTCAACGGAAATAATCCTGAGTTATGGTTCGACATCATCCATTCAGGTTTCTGGGCTGTTCATTAGAATAACTTGACCTGTCTGTGAAACAAGCTGCTTCCCAGTAAAGCTGATGAAAGTCGGCTTCAGACCTCTGATGGTTGTTGAAGGTGTGGTTCTGAAGGTTTGACATGTTGGGGCTTAAAGTTGTGACCTCATGGACGTATACTCAAATAAAGCTGTTTACTTTCTTTATTTAGATTTTTTTGTGACGTATGACTTGTTTTTCCCTCAGAATCCAACGTCAGACCCACGTTAGCGTGTTGTGAGGCTACAGAACCCTGGTTCTGATCCTCCGGCCCGTTTAATGGGACTCACACACGGACTCTGTTTCTGTACAAACCGGATGAACTCGGAGCTCTTTGAGTTCCTGAGAGGGATGCTGGAGGCTTTCAGAGATGCAGGAGGTTTTTGTTTTGTTGTGTTTTTTTAAACCTAATTAGGTCAGGTTGGTTTTTGTGTGCGGCTCAGAATGCGATGAATGGGCTGAATGGAGGCGGCTGGAGTGGGCTGCTGGCACGCCGCGTACACCTCTCTTAATTTCATCCTTTTGCTGGCCTTGTTCTCGTCTCTTTGTCCCGCTGTAATTTGCAGCAGCAGCGCTCTGCCAAAGCCGACGACGCCGCCGCTGAATAAATTGTGAAATTGCGGCCCGTGAGATGTGCAGCGTCGGCTTAATTGACGGGTGTTCTGCCCGATGCTCCACCTCTCTTTGTTCCCTCCGAGGACCTTTGACACGCCACAAATGAAATGATTAAAACCCAGCCGTTTGTTTACCGTCTCCTCTTCTTGCTCCCTGCAGCTGGCGACGTGGGACTCGGTTCACGGCCTCAACGGCAGCCTGAAGGAGAGCCGGATAGAGAACGGGATGCAGGGAGTGACGGTCAAGGTGGTCACTCTGCTGGTAGGTGTTCACCGCCCACAGGCCGGCAGGTAGAGCAGGAAAACTACCAAGAGTTCAGTCCTTCATCCTGCATCATGTGGAGAAGAACTAAACTGAAAAACCAGGTTGTGAGAGTTTATAATGATGGAAAAGGACTAAAGTAGGTTAAAATTTGTGAAAAATTAGTCAAAAAATGTCCCAAAAGTTATCCAGAATTAGTTTAAAATGTCCAACAGAAATCAAATTGAGTCCAGAATGACTCAGAAAATGACAAAATGAACAGAAACCTGCCTACTTTTACTAAAAAATGATCTATAAAGGTGAAATGTTCAGTCCTTCATCCTGCATCAGGGCTTCATGTGGAAAAGAAACGCCAGAGGAACTAAAACCTGATTGTAAGACTTTATAATGATGGAAAAGGAGTAAAATTGGTTAAAACTAATGAAAAATGACTCAAAACTTTTTCAAATAAGTAAAAATTAGTCAGAAATGCAACAAAATGTGTCCATTATTAGTTAAAAATGATCCAAAAATCTATCAAATTGTGTCCAAAATGGCTCCAAAAATTGTCAAAATAAACAAAAACCTGCCTGTTTTTACTAAAAAAAAGAAATGTGGAGAAGAACTAAACTGTAAACCTGATTGTGAGACTTTATGAGGATTGAAATAGTTTAAAATTCATGAAAAATGACTCAAAATTTGTTCAAAATGAGTAAAAATGAGTCAGAAATGTCCCAAATGTTGGTCATAGTTAGTTCAAAGTGTCCAAAAGAAATTAAATTAAGTTCAGAATGACTCAGAAAAATAATAATTTAAAAACATCCAAACAAATGTTTCCCAAAAAAGATTTTTTTAAAGAAACAATTAATCAAAAATGCCTCCAAAGGGAATCCGTGATGTCCAGAATGAGTCAGGAAATAATAATTATTCAAAACAATCTGTCTCCATTTACTCAAAAATAAATTAAATGTTCATCCGTTTATATATTTTTGTTTATTTGTGTTCACAGGAAGGTGATCAGACTAAATGTAAACTGTCATTAATTGATAAACATTAAATAAATAAACAACATTAATAATAAATAAAGCTGAATGTCACGGCCGTCGGTCCAAAGCTGACTGAAGCTAATTGATCGTTTTAACGACCTTTTTTGATGCAGACACTAAAAAGCTTCTGATACGAGTAAATAAAACCTCACGTATGTGCAGAATCCACTGTGACACAGAAACAGTTAAAGTTAAGGGACGGTTTAGCTCCAGATGTTCAATGATCAGAGTAGAAGTCCTGTATAGATGGACCAGAACCTGCAGGACACACAACAGAATAAACAAACCAAACAAGGTGGATGCCACACATCCAGCTGTATGAGAATATAATAGGAGATGAATTAAAATGCAACAGAAACAATAAGAACAGAACAAACTCAGAATGGACCTGAAGACCTGAAAGAAGCTTAAAAAGAGGAAACAGAAGTTTGGTTTAGTTGAACTTTTATCACATTTAAAAGCTAAAAATCTGCATAACTGTCGTCACAATAACACAGTAGAGTCACAGTGAGTCTGAACCTGGACACCTTGTGATGCTCTCTGTGGGTGAACATCATGTGTTCTGTCTCATGGTGATGATGTCATGGCTCCTCATGTGGCCCAGATGACCTGGAATGGAGGAAGTAAGAGGAGATCTCTGTGGTCTCCCTGATGTTGGCAGACCTGGAGGAGGGAAGCTGCAGCTCCTCGGGGGGTTTCTGGGGTTAAACATGAGTCTAATTCCTGCTCTAACAATAATAATCCAACAGTCCACAGCAGAAAGTCCACTGGAGCGAACCCACAGGAGGACAAATCTCTGGGTCAATACGTAGCCGCCACTCTGTCCGGCTCCGCCAGGCTTCCTATCAGCGCCTCTCACTGCAGCCAAAACTTTCCCCCTTGGTTTTTTTATTTCTGTCTTTGTGGCTTCGATCCAACACCTCAGCGCGATTAGTTTAGGAGATACCGGCGGCGGCGGCGGCGGCGGCGGCTCCTTCCTCCGGCGCTGGCGAAGCAGCGAGGCGACGCTCCTCCAACCAGGCGAGACTAATACCTCCAACCTGCGCTTCATCCCCTGCAGCTGCAACACGTCCAGGTCTGGGAGCTGCAACGCTTCACTGTCCAAACTTTCTACCTGCAGCCTGCTGGATTACCGAGAAACTTTCACCTGGTCGTCATCAGACGCTGTGAAAACCTCCCCATGTGTACATCTGCAGAGGCTGTAGCTGCTCCGACTGGTCCTCAGATGTCAGTACGTTATGTCAGGAACGTGATTTATTTAGTTTATTGTTGTTCTCTGCACGTTGTCGATGTTATAACCTGTACAGCAGCATCGCCTGAATGGTCAACGTCTCAGTAGTTAACAGGTCGTCGGGTCTTTCCTCCAATGAATCATCAAGAACTTAGATTGATAGTAGAAACTCAAAGTGAAGCTAAACTGAACCAAGCTAACTGATCCAACATGGTTCTGACGTGAGTCGTCCATCTGCACGTCTGCATCATGGCTCCACGTGGAGAAGAATCGCCAGAGGAACAGAAAAATCTGATCGTGAGACTTTATAAGGATGAAAATGTGTTGAAATTTGTCCATAAGTAGTTAAAAGTTGTTAAAAATGCCTCAAAAGTTGTCGACCGTTCCTCAGAACTGGTCCATCAGTAGTTGAAAATGATCCAGATTGTGTCTAAAATGACAAAGAAAATAGTAAAAAATGAGAAAACCTGCCTGCAGTTACTTCAAAATTGTCCAAATTTGTTTAGAATGACTCTAAATAGTCCCAAAGCTGTGATCAGTGAAGCTAAACTGAACCAAGCTAACTGATCCAACATGGTTCTGACATGAGTCGTCCATCTGCACGTCTGCATCATGGCTCCACATGGAGAAGACCTGAACAGAGGAGGAGAAACATCTCACTGAGAGACTGGACAAAGATGGAGAAGGATCCAGAAGATCAGTGAGCAGCTAGAACCCAGTGCAGCCCAGTGTGAGCAGGAACCAGGAGGTCCAGAAGGAGCCACAGCAGCACTGATCAGGGCTGCAGTGGTCGTCCTCCTACAATGACTCCACGGACAGTCAACTACTGTCACTATGGAGCTGTGGACACCAGACAAAGGCAGCTGCTTCAGACTTGGCACAGGGCTGATCAATGGAGACCAGAGTTAGTGTGAAGCTCACACAGTGTGAAGGACACTTCAGAACATCAGCCTCTATGGACGGAGGACCAGAACTAAACCTGGCTGCTGCTCACAGCTAAACTTCCACATCAAAGTTCACCAGAGAACATGAACAGAAGCCTGATGGATGCTGGAGAACATCCTCTGGTCAGATGGAGATCAATGTGTTGGGCTCACATGGAGTCCAGATGTTTGGTGTGAACCTGACCAGGACCACCACAGTGGATGCATGGTCCTGACAGTGAAGCACGGAGGTGGCAGCATCATGATGTGGGGCTGCATGAGGGCAGAAGGTGTTGATGACGTTTCTAGAAGCTCCATGAATGTCTTAGGATGAACCAGGATACTGGCTGACCAGATGAAGAAGAGGAACATTCCAGCAGGAGAACATCTAGAGAACAACATCATCAGGAGCTTCTACTGAAGAGCAAAATGAAAACTGGTGGACACATGACGTATGGGGAAACTTTATAGTAAAATGTTAGTTTTTAGTTCGACATCAGAGACGTCCTGTTTGATTTAGAAGTAATCTGATTACTGTAGGGTGGTTGACGTGATGTTGCTGCTGTTTACGTGAACAAACGTGAAGCGGTGAGAGGAGCTGATGTTCAGGCTCCTGGTGCATTCACAGTCTGACGTTTTATTCTCATCGTCTACAAGTGGAAGAAAAAGTTTGAGGACTTTCTACTGAACTGCCTCCACGGCTGCTCCTCCTCTGTGCTGCTCTCGTCTGGGTTTCCTCTCAAAACTTCAGCTCTCCGTCTTTGTTTTCGGCGCCTCGCTCGCAGCCGTGCTTTGTTGAGCGCGCAGCGAAGCGGCGCTCGGCCTTTTTCTCCGGCGCCGACTCTTTCATCCTCCCGACGCCCCGTGACTCTTTGTCTCGCTCTCTGCAGGAGGATCCTTTCGTCATGGTGGCGGAGAACATCCTGGGGCAGCCCAAGAGGTACAAAGGCTTCTCCATCGACGTCCTGGACGCCCTCGCCAAGATCCTGGGCTTCAAGTACGAGATCTACCAGGTGAGGCTCCCGGGTTGCTTCAGGTGTCGTCAAACAGCCCCGTGCTGGGGTAGAAAGTTAGTCTGGATGATGACAAATTACACTTTAGTTTCTGCAGAGTGCTCCAGACTTTGTTCAGCTGGATGGAGGTTTCAGTTCGATCACTAGCTTCCTGCACTGGTTCATCATCACAACGTTTTCTGTTTCTGTGTTTCTTTGAAGCTTCCTCTCACCGAGCCGTCTGAACGCTCGACTGCATGTTTTACCAAAGCAACACCTTGAAGCCTTTCTCTGGTTATCGATTAAACCTCTGAACGCTCGGCTCTGCGTGTCAGAGTTACATATTTAGAAGTTTTCACCATGAAAGTAATCTCTTCCTGCCTCAGAAAGTCTTTGCGCTGCGTTGCATCAGCGGACTGTATCCGTCTCTCCTCTCAGGTCGCCGACAGTAAATATGGATCTCAGCTTCCCAACGGCTCGTGGAACGGCATGATCGGAGACCTCATCAACAAGGTAAGGCCGCTCCGTTCACCCATAGCTTAGTTAAACCTCTGATCAGGTTCTGGGGTTCTTTGTTCGTGCTTCTGTCATCGATGGACGTGACATAAAGTAATGAACAGTTTCATGTCTTACCTTTTGGTCACTTTACGTCTTTAAAACTATTTTCCAAAACAAAAAAACAGAAAAATGTACTTAAAACATTTACATTTTTACATCCCTGCCAACTACGATTCACACGTTAGCGTGACGGGAAGCATAAAAAACATGGAAAAACCTGAACTCAATACATCCAAATAGTTCTATTATGTGCTGTTTACTTAAACACTTCCCTGAATATTCATCCGGTGACTGTTGGTTGCAGCGGAGTCACTTCATGTTTCTTGGCTGCGACGGAAAATGCAGAATTTTTTGCTTTTTACACGATATGGTTTCTGCAAAGAGCAAAATTTTGTCAAACTTTTAAACGAGACATATAAATGAAGTGGTTTTAAAGAAACAACCACCGATCTGACAGAAGTTCATCCTGATTCCAAAACCTGCTGGAAGTCAAAGTCAGGATTATTTCATCATTTGAACTTGAAGTTTTTATGAAACGTTCCCTCAAGATGACCAACTAGTGATTATTTAAATTTAATTGAATAATCTGCTGATTATTTTCTTAACTATTCAGTTGTTTGGTCAATAAAATGTTAGAAAATGGTTAAAAAAGTCCATCAGTGCTTCCTAAAGTTCACGATGACCAACGACAGTCTGTTTACAGCCACAGAGGAGGAACGAAACCAGAACATATCCACATTTAGGAAGCTGCAGTCACTGAATTTAGACTTTTATTTATTAAAAAATGTGTTAAACTGATTGAATATCGAAATAACTGATCATTAATTTAATAGTTTTGAGCTAATTGATCCATCGTTGAAGCTGCAGTTTGATCTTTAGCCTCTTGAACAGCAGAAAACGACAAAAACCTCCAACAGAATTCCTCCTGATTGTAAAACCAGGATTTATTCATCCGTCTGGATTAAACTGGAACATTTCCAGATGGAGTTTGGTTTGTTGGAGGTGAATTCTGAAAACAATTTCTTTGTCTTTGGCTTCGATCTGATTGTTTTTTTTTCTGACAAAACTGAAAGTAACTGGTTGTTTTTGTCGAGAGCTGCTGGAGAACTGAACATCTGAGGAGTCGTTCTCTTTGTAAATGGAGTCATTTTGGTGAATTAAAAGAATAATGTGACTCTTGAACCTGCTGGCGGGTTTTGGGTCCATTTGGTTGAACGTCTTCGTACCAGAACTCCAGTGAATCTGCAGGATGAGTTTCAGCATCAGCAGCTCAGACATATTTACCAGTTTCTGAATGCTCACCTTCCTGCTTCCTGTCGCCCCAGAGGGCCGACCTGGCGGTGTCGGCCATCACCATCACGCCTGAGCGGGAGAACGTGGTGGACTTCAGCAAGCGCTACCTGGACTACAGCGTCGGCATCCTGCTGCGGAAGCCCGAGGAGAAGATCAACATCTTCTCGCTGTTCGCGCCCTTCGACCTGGCCGTGTGGGCCTGCATCGCCGCCGCCATCCCGGTGGTGGGCGTCCTCATCTTCCTGCTCAACCGGCTGCAGGCGCTGCGCTCGTCCTCGTCCCAGAACGGGCCGCCGGGCCAGCCGTCCAACGGCGTCGGCTCGGGGACGCTGCACAGCGCCATCTGGATCGTGTACGGGGCGTTCGTCCAGCAAGGTGAGAGGAGCACAGCGGAGGAGACCAGGGAGGAGGAGATGAGCTCCTCAGGAGTCAGCTGTGGTGTGGAAGGGCTGCAGCT